TGGCTATACCTAAGAACACTTTTAAGATTATTGATCTTAAAAATTGCTTTTATACTATACTTCTTGCTCTGCAAGATTGTATTAGATTTGCTTTTAGTCTTCCAGTTATTAATAATAAGGCTCCTATGTTACACTATCAATGGAAATTTTTACCACAAGGTATGGCCAATAGTGCTACTTTATGTCAAAAATTTGTCGATCAAGCTTTACATCCAATTAGAAGTTTCCTCAAGTATATATTATTCATTATATGGATGATATCCTTCTTGGCAATCATGATGAAAGTATTTTGTCTTGTGGTTTTGTAGCTTTAAAAGAATCATTAACAGTATTTGGCTTAGTTATTGCACAAGAAAGCATTCAGTATCATGCACCTTTCTCTTATTTGGGTTATTTCAGTTATCCTTATAATTTTTCACCTCAAAATATTACTATTCAAACTTCACATTTAAAAACTTTAAATGACTTTCAAAAATTACCAGGAGACATCAAATGGATTAGGACATATTGTAAATTGACTATGTCTCAGTTAAAGCCCTTATTTGATACTCTTAAAGGAGATCCAGATCCTACATCTCTGCGGAATCTTTCGGATGAAATGAAATCAGCGTCAGATTTGGTTAAAGTGGCTTTACAGAACATTACAATTCCATATTTTGATTATTCATAACCCTTTTCTTTATGTATTTTACCTACTCCTCATCCTCCAACAGGTGTTTTATATCAACAAGGACCCTTAATGTGGTTTTATCTTTCATCTGCGCCTAATAAGGTTTTAAGTACTTATCCTGATTTGATTTCTTCTCTTAATCAACAAGGCCGCAAAGCTTCTAAACAGTATATTGGATATGATCCCACCGTTATTTATCTTCCATATACTTCAGAACAAATTAATTGGCTCTACCAAACTTCAGATTCCTGGAGCCTGGCTTTATTAAACTTTTCTGGCACATTGGACAGTTGTTATCCTCCAGAAAAGTTGTTACAATTCTGTTCTTCTCACCCAGTCATTTTTCCAAAAAATTGTTAAAAAGTCTCCTATTCCTAATGCTTCATTGATTTTTACAGATGGATCTAATACTGGAATTGCTGCATATTCTATTAATGGAAAATGTAATACTAAACAAACTTCCTTTTCTTCACCACAAGAAACTGAACTGTTCACTGTATTTTGTGCATTGCAAGATTGTTCTGACTCTTGTAATTTGTATACTGATAGTCATTATGTAGCAAAGGCTATTCCTTTGCTAGAAACTATGCCTCATATCAATGCTCATAACAATGTGGTATTTTCTTTGTTTGTGAATATTCAACACTTACTGCATGTCAGAACATTCCCTTGTTGAATTCTTCATATTAGATCTCACACTTCTTTACCTGGACCATTATCTATGGGTAATGCTATTGTAGATCAACTAACCAGACCTATGATTTTTGTATTGGAAGATGCTTTAAAATCACATGCTGTTCATCATCAGAACACCTCGGTGCTATATAAGCAATTTGCTATTTCTCGGGAACAGGCTCACCATATTGTAAAATCATGTGGTAATTGTGATCCTTTATTACTTGTGCCCCATTTTGGTATAAATTCTTGAGTTTTATTGCCAAATCATCTTTGGCAGATGGATGTAACTCATGTTGCCTCTTTTGGTAAGTTACAGTTTGTACATGTAACTATTGATACCTTTTCTCATTTTATGATAGCCACAGCTACGTCAGGTGAATCTGTGAGGCATGTTATTTCTCATTTATTACATTGTTTTTCTCTATTAGGCATTCCTAAACAATTAAAAACTGTCAATGCTTATACGTGTAAATCTTTTCAGTTGTTCTGTAGAACGTTTTCTATTACTCATGTTACTGGCATTCTGTATAATCCTCAAGGACAAGGTATTGTCGACTGAGCACATCGCACTTTAAAAATCAATTACTTAAAAAGAAGGGTGAACTCATGGGAGGTATCCGATCTCTACAGTCATTATTAGATCATGCTCCTCTTGTAATCAATATTTTAAATTTGGATGMTAATGGATATTCTGCTGTGCAACGCTTATGGTGCCCTGAATCTACTTCATACCCTTCTGTCCTGTGGAAGGATCCACTTACTAATCGATGTCAAGGTCCTGATCCTGTTCTTACATGGGGTAGAGGTTATGTTTGTGTATTTCCACAGAATGCCCGAAGTCCGAGGTGGATCCTGGAAAGGTTGGTACACACCGTGGGATCCTCAGCTAATAACCAAATTCAAACAGATGACTCTGAATCCCCACAAGAAGAAAATACCGTTGATGCCCCATAGGATGCCGGTTCACCGGAATGAAGTACTTGCTGTATCCCAACACCTGGAAAGAATGCAGCTGCCTACTCTACAGTTGATGTTGACTGCTTCACTACTTTTGCAGATTCCTGTATCATCAGCTATGCCCATTGGGATTCCTCGCAATTTGACTTCAAAAATTTTGGGGTGTCTTTGGCTTTATCTCTCAATACTACGTCCTTCTGCTTGAAATAGGATATAGACTTGCATTATATGTTGGGACAATGTTTGCAACCAGTATGCAAATCTGCAGATTCCATTAAAGACTTAACATTCCTTTCTACCATTAATAAGACTATCACGTACCAGGATATGGCCAATTGGGGCATTGCTTCTTATGAGAAGCCCAAAAGTCTTGTTGAATTAATAACACCAAGGGTCATTATAGAGAATAATAGTGAATGTGTTCGCTTAGAAAATTGTACCAGTTCTAAATGTAAATCAGTGTCTTCTTCTCTCCCTTGTCATTCTTTTGAGAATATGGTTGCTAGTTATAGTCATGTACATTTGCCTTTGGGGTGGTTTTTTACTTGTGGCGACCATACTTATAATTATATTCCAGCCAATCTTACTGGTCAATGTTGTCTATCTCAACTTACTGCCTTTTTACCTGATAAACATCAATTAGAAGCTGTTTATAATATTCACAGTAAGAGATCTGTAACCCTGTCTGAGTCTTGTAATGATAAAGTTACTTTTCTTTCGAATGCTGAAGGCATGGTTATGATTTTATCTCTTGTTGGAATTTTAGCATTTGGACCTTTTAATCAAAAATTGCAGCATTTAGGATGTAATTTTGCTAAAATTCTTAATGCTACTTCTCAGGCAATTGCCTTACTTAATAGAGAACAAAAGCAATTGTGGCAAGCTATTTTGGATAACCATGCTGCCATCGACTATTTACTATTATTTCATCATCAAGGATGTGAGAGAATTAAAAGAATGTGTTGTTTTAATATAAGTGATAATAGTGAAGAAATTCAAGAAAATACCATATGGTGTATAAATGTTCCTTAGTGTGAAAACTGTATAAATATGCAGCACAGCTGAATAAAGTGCAGTTGCTTCACGTTGAGTGTGGCTTCTGTCCTTCCACTCCCCAAGCCCCTCTTTTTCAGGACTAGGTGGTGTCTAGAACACCACAAATATATATATATATATATATATATATATAT